GTTAGGATGTATTGCTTGTCGCGCTTCGTTCCAGCCAAATAGCGATCTGATGTAACGATGATACTTCGACGGTGCATGCATGTCAGCAGCTTCGATTCCTGCAGAAGTACCCTCCGGCAGCTAACAGAATCTTTTCTCAAACAATTCCAGAAAATTGTCAAATAAGCACAGCGATGAGTCATTTTATAGAAGTTAGCAATGCACTTACCAACCTTGTTTATGTAGATGTGAAGAAGAGCCTGCTCCTGAGCCTGAGTCCAATGCGTTGCCACGCATCGCAATACACCCGCCTGCAACGCTAATATTACAATGGGTTTATCGTTGGACATGAAATAGATCGTAGCAATTAGCTGAAAATCACCACCAGTCGAATTCGGTCTTACGACCAAATTTATATAGATTAAATCCGCTTTTTTTCTTAATACAGCAAAAAACATTGCAAATTCCAACAGTCCTATCGCGGATTTTTTGTCAGAGTGATCAAAATAGTGATTCAGATTTCGAAAAAATTCTCAAATTCATCTGACAAGGAAAAAACATCCAATTTTCGTCACCCTGAAGATGAAAAAACGAAAGAACAGAGATTAAGGGATTTCGCTGAATACGTAGTGCATTTATGACCTGTAATCTGCAACGCATGTTCTGGTACAGCCGATCTTCGCCTACTGGCTTGATCGTCAAAATGCCATCCGAAAGAGGTATAGCCACTGAATTCGGCTGTGCAACAATTCGACATCGAATATGGCCATAAAGTGGTGGACCGTAATTTGCTGCTGCAACAGTTTCAATGCTGCGAATCATGGAGAAATTTGATTATGGTCATATAAGTAAATCGAGAAAGAGATACCATTTGGGGATAGATGAAGGTCGTAAATTCCGGTTCTCGGTCTCGCATCGCTTAAAGTCAGTTTTGTTCGGCCGAGCAGATGAAAGCACACATTGTTCATTCCATCCGGAGGGGCATCGCTGTGTGTCGCCGTGCGATCGAGTGCCAGCGCATCCTCGCCCAGCCACCCTGATTTCTAAATTTGAAGACATTCTACAAAAGGTCTTGACGATCGTGCAAGTCATATGAGTTTTAGTAAACTTTTACCATGAATTTTGGACTGAAATCTCAAAGCGGCCTTGAAATTCATGCACGGGGAACAATTATTTGTCTTTGTTTCCGATTAGCTG